TTTTTTTTTTTTTCATTTTTTTTTTTTTTTTTGGAATAGTAAGTAGATCCTAGTTTTGAGAACGATCATAACAGCCTATATTTGGAACAGTCAATCACATTTTACATGCACCCAAGGAATTTCCAACCAGTAGCAGATGTCGTCGGATGCGCAAAATTACTGATTTGGCCAACTGCCAGAAACACTTGTTGCCTCATACAAAATCAGAATAGAGCAAATCTCGATAAATGGAAATTCGAATTTAATGAATGATAGAGAATAGTTCACAAAAAGTAAAAATATTCTTAAATAAATGGATATTATCAATTATTAACAATTAATTATCAATGTAAATTTATCAGAATATTCAAAATAACAAAAAATTGAAAAAAATGCAATAATAAAGAACAATATATATAACAAAGCAACAAAAAATATATCACATCAAGGAATTTCATTTCAAGAAATTTGATTTCCAAAGAATCTTAAATTTCGAAAAATTAAAGATATGAATTTTAAAATGAAATGGCATTTTACATATATAATGCACAATAATTAGAAAATTAATAAATGGATACTTAAAATAAATTATCAACAGATGTGTCATTCTTGCTTATATCATGATTTTTTATATTAAAAATTTACATTCTTGAACATATTCGTGACATTTTTCGAACTTGTTCAATCATGCTAGCTCAGTAACCGTTTACGTAGAAATATCTAAAAATAGTTTCTACATAGTCGTGATGAAACAAAATCCGTTATTGAAATATTGAACAAAAAAAGATGATGTAAAAATTTTAAGAATCACTTACTTGCGCTGTTTCTTTTCCAGAAGATTATTCCTGGCTGTTTGTTCCTCAAGCAATAATCTTAGATCATGCATTTCTCCGTTCAATTTTTGGACGCGTCTCTTCCATTGTCCGACCACTTGACGTTGCTCTTCGACTTCTTCGTAAGCATCGGCTAACTGAAGGACAAAAAAAATATTCTTTAATATTATTATTTGCTTTTTTCAAATAATAAGAAGACTGCTCATTCCTTATTCAAGAACCAGACACAACCATATATTTTTTGATATAAATACAGATAAGATCACAAGTTTTTAAATTTACACACAGTTCTATTATTCATGTTACAGAATAATTCCTCACTAATTCAAATTATATATTTCCATCTTATCTTTCAGACATATAGAAAATAATACATTTCAGAATAAAACTCTCAAATAATTGCTCTCTGTGTATTATAATAAAATTATTTCTTGTTAATGGATACTATATTAAGAATGGCAATTATTCTTCACACAGCTCTCAAACGCTATTCGCACCTAAATTTTCATCCTTCTATTTACCTTCTTCTCTAATTGCTTCTTAAGCCCGACAAGCTGTTCAAGATCATCCTCGTGCTGTTGCGCCATTTTTCTTTTTGTGAACTCGAGCTCTCTCACGGCGTGTTCGTATCTCTGTTTGTATACGCCACCGTCTTCGCCATCCTCGGCATCCGATGCGACACCGTTCAAATCTGCGGCCCTTGCATACAAAAGTTCCATCTCCAAACGTTCGGTCGTCTGCTGGAGATTCTTATTCGCCTCGGTTATATCCTGGAGTTCACGTTCCAATCGCAGACGCTCCGATGTTTCGGCGTCGATTCTCTCGGCCGCCAGTGTCGATGTCGAATGCTCTTCCGCAAAATCGGCGGTCATTTCGCTCAACTGGAATAAAAGAAACAAAGATGAGAATTATTCATTTTTTTATTCGTGATTATTATTTACTTATGAATACGTGTAATATTTATGATTTCCAATAATTTCTTTTTATGATAATAACTGTTAAAAATTTGAATTACGAAATTTTTTTATTGTTGCAAATATAAACGTTATTTTAAAATTTATAATAAGATTAAAGAAAAAATATAATTGATATTAAGCAGAATAAAATAAAAAAAAATTCTTTTATCAAAAATTTTACAAAAATTATTTTTTATAAATCTATATTTATATAGATGGGAAATTAATAGATACAATTTTATTTTTTTTCTGCTCTATCTGATACAAATATCGAGGGTTAAATAAATTGATCTTTGTAAATCAATTTGTTGATCAGAGATTAAATCATATTACATATAATTCTCGTTGCTTCTCATCTATCAAACGACATACTTCCCGATGTCACGTATCAGGATTTACAACTTCATCCTGTGTTCTAAAACGAACACGACATTTAGAAACGTATTTTCCGAGCTCCGTATTAAATATAGTATCAAAAGCTGTTACTCGAAAATACAAGCGCGGTGTAATAGTGCAAGTGGGTGGTCCAACATCCATCGACATGTTATTTCGTGAAAATCGATTCAACGATGTTTTTCTATAATCTTAAGCGTTCTTTTTGCGTGATCGTATCTGTTTGATTTAAAGAATGACTATACAAACGTTTGAAAAGAGTGCCACGAAGATTTATTTTGAAAAGTCAATATTCTTGATTGATGTGTGAATTGTGGAAGAAGAATGATTTGGAAAATTGAGTGATTATATGATTTTTTGAAGTCTCGTTATATCCTATCCTCTTATAATTTTATATATTTTTATTCTGAAGAATTATATTTTAAAAAATTTTCTTTTATATTTATTTCTTATATAATTTTCGTACAACAAGATATTAAGATAATAAGTTATGCTGTAAGGAGGTCTACTAGTACTAGTAATGAAAACACAACCTAGAACGTATTTGAGTTCAAGGCATCATCATCCTGTACGCGTGAAACTAACACAGATTGTAAGATGTAACAATAGTTCGTTGGCAAAGTTTATGAAATACGTGTGAATATTCGCTATCGTTCAAACATAAAATCTCTCGCAAATTCATACGGGAAATAAATTGAAGAAAAATAAAAAGAAGAAAAATACATATAAATTTTTTTCTTTGGAAAAGAACAACGTCATTTTTAAATCATTTTTTCAATCATTTTTATATAAGTTAAAATTATTAAATATTATTTATTTATTAGATATCATTAGATATCGATAGAATTATTCAGACCATTTATATTATAATTTTTTCTAAGGAAAAATTCCAAATTCCAATAAACATTCGCAGTTTACCGATAAATCTGCAAATTAGAACTCTATTATACCTCTTGACCGATACTATCGGAAATGGTCCTATCTTCCGAGACACGAGAAATGGAACGCCTCGAATAAGAATTTTTCCCAACGCTGTTCGATCTGCTGTAATACTGATAACCGCGAATCATGATGTTCGTGGCGCTCTGACTTCTCCCCATCTGCCCTCTCTTCCGATCTCGTGCCATCATCGAGTTCAAATCGTTATCCGAGTCATCCCTGTGACCCAGGTTTCGCCACTCGTCCATTATGTGATCGGTCCTCTTGAGGAATTGCGAGATCTTGGAGGACAAGTAAGAGGAGGCGGTCGATGGCTCCATGTGAGAAGCCGTTGGTTTGAAGGATTGTCTCACTTTCTGCTTGTCGCAACCCAGCACAAAATTTAAACTGGCATCGAACACCACCGGAGCCTGTTCCTTCACGGACAGATCCTCCATCGAGTCCAAACACGAGTTATTCTCCACAGGAAAGATTCTTCTCGGAGGTGTGGTGAGATTGGTCGGCGAGTCGAGGCTAGTTCGAGTCCTGGAGGACAGGACGGATGCCGATCTCGAACGGCAGGACAGGTTGGACGAGAAGCTGCAAGGCGATGGACTCCTGGTCAAATTCAACTTGCTAACCGGTCTCTTGAACGGTGGCAACGGTGGTCTCTTCGCTAAAGCGTTCAGCTCCATTGGTTTCCGTAAATTCTCGATGTCGTTCGAGTCGTTAGATCTATCGACCAGCAATTTGCCGATACGAGACTCCTCGAAAGTTTGCGAGTTGTCGTTCGAAACGGGCGACATCGAGCTCGTCGAGTACGTGATCGGCACTGACGGCATCCTGACGATCTTCCGATAAGCTCAATCTCTTTTACTTCATCGGGTGAACCATAATCTCGAGACACGACTTACACTATAATCTCTTCGATTTCCCTCTCACACGTGGGATCATTTTTTCCTTTTTTTTTTTTTTTGTTAAGCGCTGTTTACTTTTTTTAATCGCATCGAAATTTCACGTCATAGGCAAGATTTTGAAGGTAATTTTCTTATCGCAAACGGGATAGTAGAGCGGAGATCTTCAATGGGAAGGGGAACAGCCAAGAGAGGAGATCTCGCGAGATACGGTCCACCGATCGAATTGCATTGTCGCTATAGGAAAGAGTGTCGTTGGTGGAGCAAGGTACTCAGGTTTGGCACGAGGACTTAATTGCGTAACGAGTCGAACCACGTCGACGCCCGTATTGAGAGGGAGTCGCGGTGCAACTGGCTGACTCTTCCTGGGTCAGCCGATAGGCCGGTGGCGGTGGTCCGTTGGAGGAGACGGTCACCTCCGAGTTATTCTAAGGGAGATGGGGTGGAAGCGAGATGGAAAACACCGGGCGAGGTGTAGATAGTACGGTCTCCACGATCTTGGATCGAAGCCAATTCTGTCGGCGGATCTCCGCGAGGAAAGTCTCTAGGAGGTGAGCAGGGGATCGCGAGCAGTTGAAACGGGAGTGGAAACGAGCGGAAAATCGTTCGATAATTCGGACGAAGTGTGGTCAAGCGTGGCGGATGAAAAGAGATAAAGTCGAACGAGCGAAACGAAACCGGTTAGAAATCACGAGAATAATATTAAACGGCGATCAGGTGAGGTAGAGGTACACGACAATGCCAAGGTCGTGAGAGGAATTTTCATACGACACCAGGAAATGTCGGTCACTGGAACTTTTATCCGAGGCGGCAAGGTAAGTCGCTTACGATGCTTCGTTGATCAGATTCATAACGCGATAACTGCGGCACGCTTCGTCTCACGCAGTTAACCCAATTGCGCGATACCAAGGATCGCGAGTATACGGAGATACTTTCTTGTATTTTCTGGACAAACGAGTTTTGGTGTCGATTGTCTGCTACAATATATCATTGATGAAGGATGATTTAACGCGATGAGGTAGGTGCAGAAATGATCTATGCTCTTTGCGTGAATGGGAAAAAGGAAATATTTTAGAATTGTAAAAAAATGATATTGTATGTATTATTATTTAATCAGGATGGTTATCATATTATTATTCGGAGATCAAAAAATTAGTAAGAAATAAAAGAATGTATATACGGGGAAAAAAAGAGAAGCGTATACCTTAGCTTCCAATCTATCATTGTCGTGTTTCAGATGATTCCGTTCCTGCTCCAATCGTTCCACTTTCGTTTTGAGAATCTCAAGTTCCTCCTGTTTATAAAAATATTTGTTTATAATTATTCGTATTAATTTATAATTATAAATTTATAATTATAATTTATAATTTATATTTATTATTATTAGATCGTATTGATCAAAAAATGATAATAAAATAAATTAATTAAATATAATCTACGTTAAAATAATACTTATGATATATTGATCGAAAGTCATTCGAACAAATTAGATTTCTTTTAAGAAATAGCACTTCCTCAATACATCGTTTCCAATTTCTCTCACAAGTCTGGCGATGAGAAATGGTCAGTATGTAAAAATAGATAGCATGCGCTCACCGTCTTTGCCTTCAATTGATCCTCTGTTCGATGGACGTTCAATAAAGGTGCAACTTTCACGTATAATCTCCACCAGGGCCATTCTCTTACGGACATCCACTTCCTCACATTCCTTTGTATGCATCTAACTGCAAGATCTTGCAGCTGAAAAAACATTATTATTAAAAATATATTTCATCTCTCATCGCTCAATTATTAAGTACTACTTAATTCAATGAATTATGCTCATGAGCAATTATCATTTTTCAATGAAAAATAAATATATAAAATTTTAATTAATTTTATCTCACAACTCTGTTTCTAAATTCTAAAAATTTTAAATAAAATTCATTATTTAAAAAAATCAATGCCATATTAAGCAGTTTCAAAAAATCTGAAATGATGTCAGAGGTTACGTTTATAACACACGTTCTTGTATTATTATTAAGGAACACAATGGAATTTACCAACACTAGCTCCTTTCTCACAAACGCTTTGTGAAGTTGCTATAATTGGGTACAGTAAACATTCTCATTAATGAATAATTTCAGCTATTCATAAACTGTTCATACTCAACTTTTTCAAATTTAAACAATCAATTGCAACATCGAGAAGTTGTAAAAACAGTTTTGTAGTCTTCTACCTTTTCAAGTCATGGATTTTATAAAACAAGTGCCCATAAGCTTATTGACGGTCGAGGAGAAGTAATTGGCGTGACCGTTGAGAAAAGGTAATTGCGTGTCATAGTTGCTATTTTAATAAACGAAATAGTTATTTTCTATACATTTTTTTTTTTTTTGCAATTCTCCTTTCTCTTATAAGAAAAACATTTTTGATGAATTTAAGGAGTTTAATGCAAGATATTTCATTATAGAAAAATAAAAACAATAGAAATTTAAAATCTTAAAGACTTATCTTGCTCATTAATAACAATTAATATTATTAATATATTTTATTATATATATATATATTTATATATTTAAAAGATACAAAATAAAATAGAATTGTAAAAAAAAAATTATAAGAAAGAAAAAGTTATTTTATCGGGACGCGGAAATAAATAAAGGAGCCATTTCGAAATTTCTCGAGATGAGTGAAAACTACCGGTACAGGTTCACAAGTGAAGGTGCACTTTTATAAACTCAAGAAGATGTCATGACATACTTTCAAAGTGTTGAGTTTACGACGTGCCAGATAACCTCTACACCTTGCTTGAAGAAGAATAATGTGTCCAGTTAACTTCTCGTCTCTCTGGGCCTCGAGTCGTTCCAGGGTACCTGATCTGAAAAACATCTATCGAAAAGAAATCGAGAGATTAATTCAAAGTATTCGATATTTTCCATCGCGCCATAATTTTTAAATACGATATCTCTTGCAGTTGATATAACTTTCATATATTTTAAAAAATAATAATTTTCCTTTCATTTATATTCTGCTAATACATATCGATTTAAAAAAAATTTTTAACGATAAAACTATGTATTATGGGAATGTAAACAATGAATATTTAATTTATCAATTAAAAATATAATTGAAGATAATTTTAATTGTACGTGTGAAGGTAAGACATTTCATTAGAATCAATTAAAGTGATGTTTATGAAATGGTATGTATTAGAATTCGCGAGAAAAAGAATAGAATGGAAAAAGGAACGGAGATATCCCTGACACGATTTTCTCGATTACATTCAGCGTGAAGTGCATTATAGTAAAAAGTTACTCACTCTCTCTTAGGAGTAATTAAACAATAAAATACCGCATACATGGTATAAAAATCACTGTTGCTTCCAAGCCAAACAGGCTAATTAAATTCTTAATAAATTTAAAAGTTTTTCAATTATTTGTTTATGCTAATTAAGTAATAAAAAAATCATACTTATTTTTAAAATTACATATTTAAATATAAAAATGACTAAAAGTAATATTCCGTCTACAAAGATTTGATTCAAAGTTAGAAACGTTTTCACGTCAGAAATATGTTGCAAGTTTATTTTAATACTGATATAATAATATATTTGATGCTTCAACCCAGCATAATTGTATCCATTTAGACACTTGCAATCAACATTTATTATCTGAAACATCATCTTGCAATTTTACTGTTTCTAAACATCCACATAATACAAGGTGAATCATTTTCAAACCGTTCTCTTCGTAGAAGAGCAGTTCAAGTTGAAAGTTGCAAGAGCACTTTCTATCAGGA